CAGCGCAGTGGGGAGGGAGGGAGATGCCAGCAGAACCTCGGGGTCTCAGGACGGTACCTCAGCCCGAGGGGAAGGCCTGCGCACCCGGGTGGCGGTCACGGGAACACAGGTCCATGGATTCGGGGCTCAGAGCTCTACTGCTCAGAATGAGGCCGCATGACGCACACGGGGAAGAGATTAGTTTGCCTTTCAGCGCTCCAGAAACTGATTCCCGAGCATCCAACTCCACAGAGGGACCAGGAGGGGAGAGAGAGAACATTCATTAAAGACACCACCGCCTGCCGGGACCGGTTTGGCTCAATGGATAAGAGCGTCAGCCTGCAGACTGAAAGGTCCCGGGTTCGATTCCGGGCAAGGTGGCTGCGGGCACATTCCCAGTAGGGGGTGTGCAAGAGGCAGCTGATCAATGATTCTCTCTCATCGATGTTTCTAACTCTCTATCCCTCTCTCTTCCTCTCTGTGAAAAATCAATAAATATTAAAAAAAAAAAAAAAAAAAAAAAAGACACCACCACCACCACCACCACCTGCCAAACAGCAAGAACGGGCTGGGGAGTCGTTTTAAATGCTCAGGTTACGGAAGAGAACATGTCAGCCCCAAGAAACAATCCTCAGTACATGGAGTTCGGGATGCAGCTCAGAAGCGGAAATCAAGAACCAGCAATATGTCCCCTCGCCGACACGCCTCCCGCTGTCTCTGCAACCACCACACACATCTCTGCCCTTCCAGGTTGACCCTTCTCTCCCCGGAGGCAGGAAACACTTAAAAAGTCCTCAGAGCAGGGGCTCGTCGGCCTCTCGGGAAGGCGGGTGACCGTTGTTTTTATTTAGGCAAAACGGGATCTCACAGCACAGAATCCGTGCGCAAGCCATCCAGGGACACACAAAGTGGCCACCCCTGGTCTGAGGCGGTCCTGGGTAAGGATCGCCGGCCAGGCAGCGCTGCTTTTTGGCCAGCAGAAGGCGGGTCGGCTCCAGGGTTCTCGGTTCACCCAAGCTTTACGCGGGGCGCCAAGGTCTCTGTCCCAACCTCTCAGTCACCATTCACAGCAAGAAAAGCCAGCGAGTGAAAAATGGTTCATTTATTGAGTCCATGAAAGTTGGTTCTTTAAAAACAATCCTCAGTACATGGAGTTCGGGAGGTAAGGATCACATTGGTAGCACATTGTTGTCTCTACACAGAAGTACGCCGCCTGCATAGCCCGTCACCTCGGCTCACGGCCTGCGTGGGGCCGTGTCCACCAACACATCCATGTAGCTCAGAGCACATGTCACCACTGGTTTTCTTAGCTGGTGCTTCCCCACCACTTGCCCTCTCCGCTCCCACCCTGAAGGCAGCACGCTCTGTCTCAGAGCTCAGTTCACTGACAAACTTTGGCTTCCTGTGTGCTCACGTGGACTCAGCTTTTGCATTCAAAAGGGGTTTCTACATCCATGACTTGCCAGGGGACTACCCACGCCTGCTCAGTGGCAGGAGGGAAGTCTGCTCTCCCCGTGGGTGCCCATGCAGTAACGCCAATTTCTAAGCAAATCATTTCCTCCGACCTGGCATTAAAGGAAACTGTGAACTGAGCTTTGGATCCACGTCAGTGCATGTACAAAGACTCCTCCTGTTGTTGCTCGTGTCCCAAAGTGATTCTGCTCCCGTCCTCAGCCACGCAGCACCAGGGGGGCTTGCCATTTCCCTGAGTAGCCCAGGCCGAGCCCCTGCCGCCAGCTCGCTGGGCCTCGGCATCTGCCTGGGAGAGCACCTTGTGGTCCCACTGGCACCCATCCAGGGGGCAGTGCCGCCTCAGGGCGCACCCAGAATATGACCTTTGTGCCTCCAGGTCCTCTCCCCTCAGAAGTCACATTCCCTCGAGATTGACCCTTAGACTTGTTATTGGTTCAGCTTCTCCTTTACCAGCCCGCTGGCCTGGCCTCGCCCAGCCCCCAAGGATCCCAAGCCCTGCCTTCTCCTCTAATGAATCCACCAGAACACCTTCCCCTTCGGGAGACCCAGCCGAGGGAGTGGCGTTTAAATGCCCGCAGAACTGGCGTGGGCACGCGCCTCTCTGTAAGAAGGCCCATGAAGGCGTGGTCTGCACTGTGCGTGTGATGGCTGCTCCCGCCCAGCCACCTGCCACGGGGACGGGACGGGACGGGGCAGGGCAGGCCAGCTGCTATGAGCCAGGACAGCGTGAACTGCAGGTAAACACAGGTGAAAAGATGGGCGGTTCTGCCCTCGCCGCGGCCGCCCCAGGGGAGGAACCCCGCAGCCACGCTGGCGGTGGCGTGGCTGATTCACCGCCTGCCCGGGGCCAGGTCTGTGCTCTTACACACGGGCGGTACCTGAGATGACAGTAACGCTACCCTGTCCCCACATTATTTTTTGCTTTTCTTTAGGAAATAACGAGTCCTTATCATAGGCACTTTTAACCTGTTATAAGGTAATGAAGCAAACAAAATAGCAAATGAAAATTACCGAGATGAATTAAGAAATATGCTAACTGAAAAGGATAGAGGGTGGGTAATCTACCATAGCTTAGCCTAAATATCAGACATTCTCTCACACACACACGTGCACGCGTGCACACACACACACCCTTTTGGAACTCTCCAGGGAAATGCCTCAAACATCAGCGGAGCCAGGTCCCAGCGGACACACCATGGTTTGGGCGCAGGTTAAGAGAAAAGGTCTGGGCTGGACTCCCTCCTGTTTGGGCAAGAAAACCACCCCCAGTGGCAGCAGCCAGCAGCTGGTCAAGGCCAGACGAGAAAGGAGTGGGCGTTTCAAACTCCGTTTGGCAGCATGTCTAAGGCATGAAGACAGGCCAAGGACAGGTGGCAGCAAAGGAGACTGTGCATAAAGCATCGCCACTGTCGAAGCGGCGGCCGCAGAGCCCGGGCAGGCAGGTTGGCGCCTGCACCTACCAAGCCTCGAGCCAAGGAGAGGACAGGGAGCCGCCGGCTCTGCTCCAGATGACCTCCTGCCTCGGATGGGGCCCCATAGGTCACTACCTCACCGAGCCCTCCTCTCGGTCCCGGCCTGGTCCACAGGCACCTTAAAGGGGAGGGAGGAGAGCATGGGGACACGGGGGCGGGGCACATCTCCCTGACAGTAAACAAGTCCCGTGTTGCCTCAGAGGGCACGCAAGAAGCTTCTGACAACCCCAGACAGAGTTTTACTGCCCGACACGGTGATCTAGGCCCAGCCAAGAGCTCTTGCCTCGTCTTTCCTTTTCAGACGCAGACATTAACATACAGAATGTGCAATGCAGGCAGGTAGTGGATGTATGAGAAACTTGGCGGAATTCATTTCCTGGCTTTGGGATCTTATTTTTTTCATCTGTAAGCTCAACTCTATCAATAAGAGTTTTATTTGTACTTCAAGTTCCCGCCCACCAAATGACAAAAATAGAATCTACATTTAGAGATAGGACCTGCTACCAATACCAATATGATTTTATTGGAATATGGAATGTAAACAGATGCTTTCAAACAAACAATCTATCCTTATAAAAAGTATGGCATTATTAAATAGTTAATAAAGAAATCCTAACGTGACGTGGCGACAGACCCCTCGAGCTCCAGCCTGGCTGTGCGAGTCCCCGTGGCCGTGCGTGGCTCTGCAGCTGGGGTGAGGGGACCGCTTGCAGATCATGTTAACGTCAAGTCCCCCAAACGAAATCAGCGCTATTTTTACTTCTTAAAACAAAATCTAGCTTCCTTTGCTAACGTGAAGGCTGGCACAGGGGCCCCAGGCTCTGCTCCCCACTCCGGGAACCCCACTTCTTCCCCCAAGGCCCTCGCTGCTTGGGCTGTGGGGGACCCTGCCATGCACCTCCAGACCCTGCAGGCGAGACGGACTTGTCATTGCCATCACATTCACGTACTGCCCATCAGAGCTTAGAGGTGCAGAGTACCCTGATTACAGCGGGGAATTACTTCTTGTGGGGATAGAAAGAGGCAAAAAGGGGTGGGGATGGGGAGATATATTTTTTTCTTTGCCCAATAGGTCATTCCTGAATACATTCTCATAGAACCCTTTCCCTCCTTCTCCCTCCCTGACCTGTCTAAGACCGACCTCCCAGCTTTAGTTATGGTCTTGAACAAAAGCATCTTTGTTTCAGAGAGATGCGTTAAAATCGGTGCACACACAGGGATGTGCTGGGAAATGGTGAGGCTTCCTTACAAGGCTGCAGACAAAAAAGAAAAAAAGGAAAAGAAAAAAAGATACACCCAAAAAAAAAAAATAGCAACAAGATTTTATGGTTAGGCAAATCAACAAAGGTTACAGTGAGCTCCAAGTTATGCACTTAGCATCTAACTTCTGAAGACGGATGGACCTGTTCGTGGCATCACAGGGTTTAAAGTGACATCTGCCGACACCCGAGAGGACTCATGAGAGGACTGCAGTTTGCTCCCAAATTAATACGCTTAGAGGAAACTGCAGGGCTGAGGTACATTTCCTAGAGAGCTCATGTCATAAAAAAATACATAAAACATGGATTTGTAAAAGAGTTAAAAAAAAATACTGTCGCTGTTTTAATATCTCCTGTTCGTGAGTGAGGCTGGTGTGTCAGTACAGGCTGCTGACGGGCAGCTAAACTGGAGCCTGAATCTCACCCGAGGAAACCAGACCACAGTGGAATAGACAGGAAGTCAGATAGTCAGAGCTGGTTGACCGAACGAGTTAATTCAACAGTGGTCTCCTGTGAGACACAGGTGAGCGTACAACTCCGAGTCTCCCGTCTCCCGTGCATTCCACAGGGAGAGGCCCCTCAGATCCTCAACTAGGTGCGGCGTCTCGCTCGCTGCCGGAGCGTCAGCGCCCTGGAGACTAGGACTGGGGAGTTTCTTTCTTTTTGACAGACTTTTAGGTCTTTACTCTTCTTTGCGTTTAGAAGGAATGACTAGAATTTCTTTGTATCACACTGGAGTTTTCCTTCAAGGTTTGTGTTGGGTTGGTCGGTTTTATTGGCAAGCATCAATGCCGCATTACCCGTCGCTTTCCAGTCTTCATCGGGCCGCCGTGAGACCACTGGAAAGTACAGTGTTGTCCGCGCTGGGCTGGGACTGCTCCTTCACCACGGGGTCTGCAAGGCAAAGGGCCAGTCAGCGAGGCTGGGCGGCGAGGGAGGGAACATCACACCGAGCCCGCCTTCCACCGTGAGCCAGAGGACACGCGGCGGGAAAGGCAGGACCAGGCGGGCGAGGGAAGTGGCAGCATATAGTTGGTTATAGAACGAGGTAATGAAAAACAATCAGGGTGAGCACTCTTACTTCCTCAGAGTCAAGTTCAATGACTCTGACTCACCAAGAGTGGCACAGACTCATCTCCCACTGCTCAAATGTCTCATTTTCTTATGTGCTATTTTCCTCGAATACTAACATCATACCCAACTCCCAATTTCTTCAATGCATGCACAATAACAAGCACTTCAGAGAAAAGGGTGAATAAAAAGAGCTATTAGACCTAATCATTTTGCTCGGTCTGTATGGCTCAGTGGGTAAGTGTCGACCTATAAACCAGGACGTCACCATTCGATTCCCAGTCAGGGCACATGCCCAGGCTGCGGGCTGGATCCCCAGCGTGGAGCGTGCAGGAGGCAGCCAATCAATGATTCTCTCTCATCACTGATGTTTCTGTCTCTCCCCATCTCCATTCCTCTCTGAAATCAAATTATACATTGTAAACATCCGTGCTCTGAATTCCGCCAACTCAAAGGGTAGAGATAGATTTCTGTGGCCTGGACCACTGAAGGGTGAGACCTTTCAAATTCACTGCCTACTGATGCTTATGGGCCAATAGGTTCCAAGACCACAGAGTGATGTCAACTCCAGGCAAGTTTCAGTTAATTGCAGAGGGAAAAAGGAGGAAAGATGGCATATTAGTCAAGCAACAGTTAGGCTGAAAGTGTTGGTCGATTCACATAATGAACTGACACAGGTCACTTAACCTGTTATTCTCGGTCTCCTCTGACTAGCTTAAACCAGCCCACACTGCTGAGAATAAAGTATGACATGTGCCTTAGCAGTGCGACTGCACGCGTGCAGAACAAGCAGCCACATAAATGGAATTTATGCACATCCTCTGATGTTAATAATTCAGATAGAATTTTTAACTGCTTTCCTTTCCGCAAATTTTAAACTTATTTCCTTCTTTAAAAATGTACTAAGTTACATTATTTTCAACTCATTACTCGTTTTTCTGTGTGTGCTGGTAGACAGGGGTGGGGGGGTAATATCTTTGATTAGTTTTCAAGAAAAAAGTATATATTTTGTAATCTACCAACTCAGTCACGGGGAATGCTCTAACACAGCGGTCGCCAACCTTTCTGACCTCATGGACCACCAGTAGTCCGAGGACCACCGACTGGCGACTGCTGGTCTAACAGACCAGACTCAAGGGAGCTCCGAGCAAATACCTTCGGGGACCAAGCAGCAGACCGGCCAAGTTGTCTCAATGGTTCAGCGCTAAGGAGGCCAAATTCCAACAGCATTCATTCAAATACCCAGAATTCCCTTGACCAGCCTCAAAGATAAAGGGTGCAAAGCATTTTCCTTTAAAAAAAAAAAAAAAAAAGAGGGCCCTGCAAAGCGCCGGACACTCACAGAAGTACGGGTGCTCCATGGCCTCTTTGGCAGTCAGTCTCTGCTGATGGTCGTATCGCAGAAGCTTGTCCAGAAGGTCTAGGGCCTCGGGGCTGACGAGGTGTCTGTTCTCACTATGTATAAAGTTTTCCCAGCGTTTCCGTGAATGTCTGAGAAGAAAGGGGAGCATTAGCATTCTGAGACGAAGTTCAGCAAGATGCTTGTGTAGTGGGGCCAAAATCAGAGAGGATGGCACTCGTTACAAACACCTCAAATCTCATTCTGGCCATCTGCCCCACCCCTATAGCCCCGATCCCAGCCAGTGCACTTGCTAACATCTGTGTGATCCTCAAGCAAAACGGCGCTCCATGACTGATGCGTTAGTTAAGACATTTACATCTGATTCGGATGTAAAAGATTTAGATGGCTGTAGTGAGTTCTGGGCGAGGCACAGAGGTGACTGGGTGATTGTTATCACTCCGTCATTACATTTAGAGCTGCTGGCCTTAGAAACATGGGTCTCATAAAATACTATTGGAAAAATTTCAACACATTTACTTTTCAAAACTATGTGAAAATAGGCTTTGAAATTACCTTATAAATAACCCATTACAGAGAACAAAAGAAATGGTTTCTTATTCCAAGAATCACAGCTTCCTAAGACTTTTCCATTAAAATAAGCTTATGCTAAGCCAAAAAACTTCTCCGTAACAATTTTCTATTGATAAGCAGACTGTCTTTTAGAAAAGTAAATTAGAAGACACATACATGTAAACGATGTCCAAATATCTCAAAAGAGGAAATGCACAGGGTCGGGAGAAGGCTACTTGATTCTGGTCTACGGCCATACCACCCTGAATGCGCGCGATCTCGTCTGATTTTGATATAATTAGAAATGGAAATGGCAACCTTTCCCCTTGTGCAGGGGGGTGAGTTAACACCCGCCCCTTCCTCCCTCTTACTTACTGTCCCAGGATATCGTTGAAGTGCGGGTCTAGGTCTATGTGATACTTCTTCAGATACCCGTACAGCTCATCGGTACCCAGGACCTTGGCAATGCGAACAAGCTGCAAGACAAACAAACTGACCCAATCACCGCGCACAGAACTCCCTGCGCGCCCAGGAGGACGCTGGGACAGGGAGCCAAAGACTTCCCCAGGGAAGAGGTACAGACCCAAGCTGGCGAAGACTGGGGACACTGAGAGACAGCCAGGGGCTCAAGGACAGCACCCCATGAAGGATGCTGTTTTCCTGGCATCTGCCCCCCAAGTGGATATGAGCCAGATGAGGTCCGCTCACCTGGTCATAGTTGTCCTGTCCGTGGAAGAAGGGTTCCTTCCGAAAGATCATGCTCGCTAACATACAGCCCAAACTCCACATGTCCAAGCTATAATCATACATCTGAGGAAATAAGGACAAACAGTCAGTCATGGGTGCTCCATTTTCCTGAGCAAAAAAAAAAAAAAAGTAGCTGCGGAAAATCAGCAATGATCATTCTGGAATGGAACAAAGACCAGGCTTTGAATGTATCCAAATTGACTCAGTAAAAAGAAGCCCCGCCGGGTGGTTCAGTGGTTGAGCATTGACCTATGAACCAGGAGGTCACGGTTTGATTTCCTGTTAAGGCATATGCCCGGGTTGCGGGCTCAATTCCCAATAGCAGACATGCAGGAGGCAGCCGATCAATGACTCTCTGTTATCATTGATACTTCTCTCTCTCCCTCTCCCTCTCCCTTCCTCTCTGAAATCAATTAAAATATATTTTAAACAACAACAGCCAAAACCAGTTTGGCTCAATGGATATAGCATTGGTCTGCAGACTGACAGGTCCCAGGTTCGATTCCAGTCAAGGGCATGTATGTACATTGGTTGTGGGCACACCCCCAGTAGGTGGTGTGCAGAAAGCAGCTGGTCGCTGTTTCTCTCTCATGGATGTTTCTAGCTCTCTATCCCTCTCCCTTCCTCTCTGAAATCAATTAAAATATATTTTAAACAATAACAACAAAAAGAAAAAAGGAAAAGCCCCAGGGAAACACACAAAGCGGGGTGGCGCTCGCTGGCCACTGTACCTGGTAGTCCACGAGGAGCTCCGGGCCCTTGAAGTACCTGGAGGCCACGCGGACGTTGTACTCCTGAGCGGGATGGTAGAACTCGGCCAGGCCCCAGTCTATCAGTCGCAGCTACACACACACACACACACACACACACAACAGGAAGAAAACAAGTGAACGGAGTGTTCTAGATGCCTGTGCCTTAGACCCGGGCCACACCTCGCTAAATGGTAATTATTTGACTTATAAAAAATGTTAGCAAGTGCACTGGCAAAAAAACTGTGCTTTCACTACTGTGTACGAGGCCACTTTTGCGCACAGCACTCAGAACAGTATTTGCTTTTTCTTTTTTTTAAATTTAAATTATCCTGGTTTTTTCTTTTGAGATCAATAGAGCTTAAGCTTCTCTCTGACTCCATATAACCCGTATGTGCAACACATCCCCCATCATCAACAGCTTTCGTTATAAGCCGTAGTCATAACAGAAAGGAGGGGGGGGACGTGCCCCATTCCAGGATCGAGGCACCGCTCTCGCTTCTCATTAATCTACTAGGTCCACGGTCGGCAAACTGTGGCTCACGAGCCACATGCAGCTCTTCGGCCCCTTGAGTGTGGCTCTTCCACAAAATACCACAGCCTGGGCGAGTCTATTTTGAAGAAGTGGCATTAGAGGAAGTTTAAGTTTAAAAATTTGGCACTCAAAAAAAATTTCAATCCTTGTGCTGTTGATATTTGGCACTGTTGACTAATGAGTTTGCCGACCACTGTATTAGGTGATTAATCACCAATTAGGGACAACCAGAATTAGGCATTGAAAATAAGAGGGATCAATGGTATTTTTAAGGCCAGGCAGATTGGTCTGAGGGGTCGTTAGGCAGTAGAAACCATCAGCTGAGCCCCCCATAGCCACAATAAACAACTGCTCTCCTTGTGACCACACTTATGCTAAGTAGGGACCCTCACTGGGAGACTGGGAAATAACAGCATCACCCACCAGTCTGCCCAAGAGAGCAGCACGGGTCTCCAGAAACCACCTCAGTACTGGCCAGGGGTGGTGTACACCTTCCGATGGAAGGCCGTGGCCGCCTAGCTGGAATGTACCTTTTTCTGTTGGTGATCTATCATGACATTGTGAGGTTTCACGTCCCTGTGCATGATTCCCTTGCTGTGGCAGTAATCCAGGGCCTATGAGGTAAGAAAGCAGAGAGAAAGGTAAGCAAACCCGCTACCGCCCCCACATTGCAATCATATTGGCATTTGCTTGTGACAGTTCGTCTGGGATGTTTCCCCAGGGACTGTTTACTGTCTGTAACAAAAGAAACCAGCCTCAGGGGGGCAGCCCTGCTCTCCGCACACCGCTGGCCGCGGGCAGAGGGCTAAGAGGAGACATCAAGGCTTTGATGGCAGTTTCTCAAAATGGGGGCGATGAGCCATGGCTGGTTTGACTCAACGGTAAAGAGAATCAACCTGTACATTGAAGGGTCAAGGGTTCAATTCCTGCATGTACCTGGGTTGCAGGTTCCATGTTTCTCTCCCCACCCCCCCTCCACACTAAAAATTAATGGGGAAAATACCCTCGAGGGAGGATTAACAACGAGCATTTAAAAAGGCTGGGGAGAGGGAGGAATATGGAATGGTACTCTCCTTTCAGCACTCGCCTGCTTGCACTGGCCACCTGGGTTTAGAAACCACACACTCAACTGTTCTGGTTTTATGTTTAAAATCAGACCCGGGAACCTCACTGGAGTCACCTCTCATAGTGGTCAATGACACAAAGAGTCCACGTGGACATGAAGCACGACATCCAAATAAATCTTTCTTCATTGCTTGTTTTCTAGAAAGTGTTTTATGGGGTTTCTAGATTAACACACATTCTAATATTCGTATTACCCTGAAAAGCAATCCCTGAGCCAGTTGGTCTTTAAGAATTATGATTATAGCTAGGCTGGTGTGGCTCAGTGGTTGAGTCAACCTATGAATCAAGTCAGGACACATGTCCAAGTTGCGGGAGACGATCCCCAGTGGGGGTGTGCAGGAGGCAGCTGATCAATGATCTCTCACATTGATATTTCCCTTTCTCTCCCCTTTCCCTTCCTCTCAAGCTTGCCTTCTGTCAACCCCACTCCCCTCTGCCCTCTACTCCTCCTCCCATCCTCTGCTGCCAACCACTAGTCTGCTATCTGTTGATATCTGCCTTTTAGACATTCATAAAATAATACAATATACAGTACGCCATCTTCATTCACGCAATGTTGCTGAGATTCACCCTCATTGCTTTTTTCTTGCTGAGTAGTATTCCACTGGGTGACCGCACCAGCTGGTGGACAGTTGGATGGTTTCCATTTTTTGGCTCTTATGAATGAGCTACTTATGTTCATGTACATATCTCTGAGGTGACATATGCTTTCATTTCTCTTGGGTAGATTCCAAAAGGTGGAAGTACTGGATTGCATGTAGGTTTTACATTAAGTGTTCAAACATTTGTTTCCCAGAGTAGCTGCACCATCTTACATTCCCATCAGCGTGTGAGGGTTCCAGTTTCTCCACACCCTCCGCACACCTGTCGTTGCCCACTTTTTATTGTGGCTGTTCGGTGGGTCTGAAGCGGAATCTCACTGCAGTTTTGATTTGTATTTCCCTAATGAGCGGTCAAGTTGAATATCTTTCCTTGTGCTTGTCAGCCTTTATCTTTATTGGACAAATGTTGACTCAAATCTTTCATCCATTTTTTATTTGGGTTGTTCTTGTTTTATTCATTTGTTTGGTTTCCCCGTGTCCCAGGGCTTGAGGATAGAACTGGCGGACTGGAAACCACTGGCACCAAAGACTTGCCGCCAGGGGGCAGGCGCCCCTAACCCTCTGCTCCACATATAACGGAGCCTGGGACCGCACACCAGACCCCGCCAAGAGGAAGAGGGTTGTTTTGTTTTAAATTTAAAAAAAAAAAAAAGTTTTTGCTCCCAAATCTCCCTTTTCTTATGCAATACAACTATTTTCATGAAATTCAATAGTAGGCCCTTTGGCTTGTCTTAAAAAGCACTTGAAGCCTGCCTGAGTCCCATCATATCCTCCTTGAGTGATAATGATAGCAGCCCAGAGTCTCAAAGTGCCTACTATGTGCCTGGCACTGAGGGCTCCTGGTGGAGTTTTCCCTGGGAGAGGATGAGGGTTTCTCAGCTTTGGTACTGTGGGCATTTGGACAGGAATTCTTTGTTGCAGGGAACTGCCCTGCACACTGTAGGAGGTCAGTCAGACAGGATTCCCACTACATACCCGATCACAAAGCACCCCTCCAACTGTGAAAACCAAAGACGGTGCCAGACTGCCAGGTGACCTGGAGTCTGAAGCGGACTCGACTGAGAACCACTGGCCTAGACTAGCAAGGGCACTATCCCAGGCATCCCTGTGGGGGGAGGGAAGCCAGAAGCCAGGGAATGGTCCCTAGCACCAGCATTCCAGGTATAAGCCAATTTTCCTTTCCCTAGACACAAAGAGAATACAGTGTCCGGTGCTTTTTATATGAAGGTCAAAAACAGGCAAAACTAAACTGTGGCAATTGCCCTGGCCACGCAGCTCAGTTGGTTAGAGCATCATCCAATACAGCAAGGTTGTGGGTTCCATCCCCAGTCAGGGCACACACACAAGAATCAATCAATGAAGGCATAAATAGGTGGAACAACAAAAATCGATTTTACCATCCCCCTGCCCCTCCCCCCTCAAAAAATAACTAAAAATACAAACTACAGTGGTAGAGGTCAGACTATAATCTTCAGAGGGGGATACTGAATACAAGGGGGACAAGAGAGCCTTTATGGGTTTTCATACCATTCCCCACCAGCCCTGTCCACCAGAACTTCCTGCGATGGAGAATACTCCATCTCCGCACTGTCCAATACTGTCCAATATGGTAACCATAGCCACAGGAGGCCACTGGGTGTTTGGAATGTGAATAACAAAGCCAAAGAGTTTACTTAATTTAAATACCTATCTGCAGGCTGAAGCTACTGTTCTGGACAGCATAGTTCTGTGCAGGTTTGGGTAAAGGTTTCACTTAGGTAAAATCCAAAAAAAAATGTATACTTAAGATTTAGTCACTTTGTTTATGTAGTTCTACTTCAATTAGATTTTCTCTTTTGTTTTGTTTTACAGCAGAGCTGTAGCAAGACTCCCATGGCCATGGCCGTGCCCGAGATGGACTAGGCTCCCGAGGACAGACCTCCCTCAGTCTGAATCAGACCGACTCTGCGCAACTTGCGAGTCATGAGCAATCATGGCGGCCCTTCAGCCTGTTTCTACATTTCCCAAGTTTAAACGCTGCCTCTCTCTTCTCCCTCCCTGGCCCGCCTCTCCCAGAGAGAGCATCTAGCGAGTGCTGATTCTGTTATCTTGCCTAGTCTCTGCCCAGATGAATTAGAAGCACACCTGGGATGTGAGAATCGTCTGATGAAAGAAAATTCACGAAGGGGATTAATTCTTTTGCCAAGTTTACTGGTCAGGCTCCCTGGGGAGCTACTGGCATACTTTTAAATTCCTTGGGGAATTCTTTCAGTTTTAAAATCTGGTCGTTTCTGACCGCTAAGCACGAAAGAGGTTTTCCAAATGTTACCTGGGGTACTACGACTCATCAGCAGGAAGTACCTACCGCCTAGAAAATTTCAGTCTTGGGATTGGGATGAGTAAGTCTCCCACCTGCTGCCTCTGGAAAAGAGAGGACACCACACACCGGTGCCGCCTGCGTCCCTGGATGTCTTACCTGGTCTACGGGCCCCTGTGCCAGGCGTCAGCCTTACCTTCGGGGTGCTGGCCTGCCTCAAACTGTTGGTATTGTGTTCAAGTAACTATTCACAATTCCATCGAAACTCCATCTTGGCATTTTTTCAGTAAAGCTAAAACCTCCTTCTACGTTCTTCCAGGGGTTCTTAATTTGAGATCACACCCCTCCTAAAACTTGAAGTAACACTGTGTACTTCACAGCTCTTGTGGAGTGACCTCACTGCTTCCATTAGACTCTTAGTGCTCCACTAAAAAACTTAGGAAACATCGGCCTACTCCATTTTACAGACCTTTTTAGAATTCTTTACCTAAATGTTTACCTACACGAACGAGGAGAGATCATTTCTCCATCCATCAGTAATGGTTGAAAATTTCAGTCTTGGGATTAGTAAGTCTCCCAGAAGGTCCACCCATCACTCTCCCTGCCTGTCAAGGATAATAGCCAGGGCTAGAGGCTGGGTTGTCTCATGTAAGAAGGGGATTGTAAGAGACACAAGAAAGAGATGGCCATGGGTGCCTGCGATCCTGGTGTGCACGTCTTCACAACGTGACCTCAATGCCCTGCCCATCGAGAGGTGGGGTCTACTTCCCACTCTTAGTCTAGGCTTAGCCACGTGACTTGTTCTGATCAACAACTGGAAACATGACACAGAAGAGTGCTTACATGTCACTTACTCTCTTGCTGCTAGACCAGCACGGGAAGGGCCCAGACTGGTCTCCTGGGGGACGAGGCCTCAGCTGCTCCAGCTGCTCTCCAGACATGTGAACGAGAATATCCTGGACCACCCTAGACCATCCTGACCAACTGGCCCAGGTAAGCTTTCCCAGACCAAGACTCACCCAGCCAGCCCACAGAATTACGAGAAATAAGAAACTTCTGTCAAGTTGGTTTGTTAGGCAGTAAAATCAATAGCAGATATTGATTAAGCAGTGGAAGGAAAACCCCAGGGACAGGAAGAGTTCTGAAGAGGGAGACTCTACTCTCTGCTATGATGCCCCTGGGTGGCCATCTCTGTCTGTTCCCCTGGAAACTTTCTATGTAAAGGTCCCATGATGGAGGCCTCAAGGAAAGACACACCCCAAACAACAAACAAACAAAACCTCTACATCCTCTGGGTATCAAGAAGCATCCTGCTCATTCTCTGTTCTCTCACACACTTCCCCCTTAATGACTAATCCTGAACAGGATTCACTGTTCACGGGTGCCACTTACTTTAAGTAGTTCATACATATAAAACCGGATATCAAAGTCTGTCAGGATCTGGTAAAGTTGCTGAAACAGATTTCAGAAAACAAAGTTACGTTAGTGTCATTCCATCGTGTCATCCATATGTTGGTCATTATTCTCTGTAAACTTTAGGCAGGAGTGACTGAGGAGGCCTACAACTTTTTACTCCCTGACCTGCAACCAATGGGGACACAGGCTACAGGGGGTCTAATGCTTCAGCCTTCCAAAGGACCCCAGGGAAGAAAACCGTTTATTCCAACTGGGATCCTTTAAAAACATGTTTTTGGGTGTTTTTTTGTTTTTTTTTTTTTGGTTTTTAAAAAAAATATATATTTCTTTATTAATTTCAGAGAGGAAGGGAGATAGAAACATCAATGGTGAGTGAGAATCATTGATTGGCTGCCTCCTGCATGCTCTGCACTGAGGATTGAGCCCGCAACCCAGCCATGCGCACTTGGCCGGAATTGAACCTGGGACCCTTCAGTCTGCAGGCTGATGCTCTATCCACTGAGCCACACCGGCTAGGGTAAAAAAACGTGTTTAATGCTCCCGATTTCAAACCCCACAGTCGCACTGCCACAGAGATGAAGCCACAGGTGTCCAACTGCACTTCTATAAAACTGCCCACCTGCGCTGCGAGTTTGCTTAGAGCAAGAGCAGCCGCTGACAACCTTTGGGACCACTGGCTGGTGACCGCTGCAGGTAGAAGACCCAGCTCTGGGGACAGGGGACCCTGAAAAACTGCACCAGCCCCCGTGGGAAAACACCTGGCAAGACAGCCTGTTCGTGAAAGGAACATGAGGAAAACCAACTGCTACAGCATTTGGAAATGGCCAGACTTAAAAAATCTATACCTTCCACTCCCCCCAAACCAGTTCCAGGCTGGAAAGAGAACACTTCACAGGCAATATTGATGGGAACTAACTAAATCAATATTTTAGGGAGAAGCAAAAAGGAGAGTGGAGTGAGATTTTAAACAATGGATTCACAAATGAACATATTCATGATTAATAATCCAAAGACTGGGAGATTTTTGAAAATTTTCAATCTCTAAAAGGCAGAGTAGCATTTATGAATCCAGGTTCATTAAAACACAAACCCTTGTTGAAACTCTATTATTACTTTTGATCATCAATTCCAAGTAGGTCTCTTTCCCCATCAGTCCAAGCAGCACTTTTGATGGAAGTAATCAGCTCTTTTATGAAATATGTTTTGTTTCTCCTTTATTGGGAGACTTAAGCAATATAGAGAAAAGCTCTCTAGGAACAGAGAACAATGTCTGTGTAATAAAGGGGGACGGGGGGGATAAAACTACATAATCGTACTTGCTTGTTTCTGTAAAGATGATGAGACTAATAAAAAGTGATTTTATGAATATGGGGGGTGGGGAAGAATGGACATTGGGGCACAGGGGAAAAAAGTAGACTTTTCCCACATACCAGTTCATATTTTAGATATAGGCAAATACATTACCTGTTCAAAATAATTATTTTTTATTTGCTAAAAATCTAACTTCTTTTTCAAATGTCCCCTTTTAAATCAGAGTGACTCTCCCTCCAGCCTAGTAAGGCTATCTGATTTCACCAAGCCCAGGCAGCAGCCAGCTCGGGCACCACAGGGAATGAAACCATAGGTTACAGTCCACATACCTACAGTTCACACACCTACAGTCCACATATCGGTAGTGCCCACTGGAGGCTGGCTGGGAATGGTCCCTACTTCACTCAGGCACAAACACCTTTGCACTATTTCTCGCAAGATTCAACTGCATAGCAGCCCAACACTCAAGTGTTTTGTTCTCCCCAACCGGTATGTACAGAACTAGGGAAAGATACCATCTCTTTGCGTGTCAGGTCAGCTTCTCCTGTGCGAGTTAAGGAGATCACTCCCAGAGTTGATGCCAAGTTGAACCTCAAGTCAATAAACAGGCCATGGCAGGGAAAACAGCACTTACTACCCCTCAGAGCCTGGGATAGATTATTTCCAGAAGTGAATATGGACTATTTTAACAGCTGGGTTTTATCTGTGGAAGGTATCATGTGGTATTTATACCAAGCATCTGTGTAAATGAATGTCCTTGGTCCGCCAACATAGCATTTCCAACTACTCCAACCAATATCGATTTTATATAGTACAAAAAACACCAGTTAAATATAGTGCTTATGCCTAACACATTCTAAGTATTCCCATGTATCTTTTATTATGGCTTTGATACACATGAAGTGTTATACCTGATGATTTCCAGGAGAAATTGACCAAAAACAGTGCCTCTACCATAAACTGAAATACAAGGGAAAAAGTGAGGAAGGCCCTAAAAGATCTGAATGAAATTACCAAACTTGATATAAAAACTGAACAGGTACTGAAGTCACAAGCATCAATCATCAACAAATTCCAAATGATAAACGTTATATGGATCAGGTTCTCTGGACACAGCACAATCAAATTAGGAATCAATAATATAAGAATTTGCCAAAACCATGCCGAGACCGGTTTGGCTCAATGGATAGAGCGTCGGCTTGGGGACTGAAGGGACCCGGGTTCGATTCTGGTCAAGGGCATGTACCTTGGTTGCGGGCATATCCCCAGTAGGGGGTGTGCAAGAGGCAGCTGATCGATGACTCATCGATGTTTCTAGCTCTCTATCTCTCTCCCTTCCTCTCTGTACAAAATCAATAAAATATATTAAAAAAAAAAAAAAAAAGAATTTGCCAAAACCAGTCTGGCTCAGTGGATAGAGCGCAGCCTGCGGACTTGAAGGTCCCGGGTTCGATTCCGGTCAAGGGCACATGCCTTGGTTGTGGGCACATCCCCAGTGGGGAGTGTGCAGGAGGCAGCTGATCGATATTTCTCTCATTAGTGTTTCTAACTCTCTCCCTTCCCCTCTGTAAAAAATCAATAAAAATATATTTAAAAATAAAAAATAAATAAATAAATAAATAAATAAATAAATAAATAAATTTGCCAAAACCAGTTTGGCTCAGTGGATAGTCGGCTTGGGGACTGAAGGGTCCCAGGTTCAATACCGGTCAAGGGCATGTACCTTGGTTGCGGGCATATCCCCAGTGGGGGGTGTGCAAGAGGCAGCTGATCGGTGACACTCTCTCATCGATGTTTCTAACTCTATCTCTCTCTCTTCCTCTCTGTACAAAATCAATAAAATATATATTTAAATAAATAAATAAATAAATAAATAATTTTTTTTTTAAAGTGAGTTCTGGATCAGATATTCACAACCATACCACTAAAAAGGACGTTCCCAGGATAGCAATCACTGGGACACCTTTGAATATGGCCTCCATACTGTCTCTATCAGGTGGCATCACTGCATAAAGATTAAATTCCTTAAGTGCACGGGTCATGTAGGAAAATATCCTCCGTCCAGTGCTAGCATATTTAGGAGTGAAATAATACAATGCCTGCAACTTTCTTTAAGATGACTTCAGCAAAAAGATAGAGATAAAGAGGGGAGTGTGGGGGATGGAGAGAAATAACTGCAAATGTGGCAAAATATTAACTGGTAAATCTAGGCGAGTAACATAAGGGTACTGACTGTGCTACTCTTTTCAATTTTCAGTAGGCCTAAAAATTTTTTTTAAAATGTGTTTTTATTGATTGTTTAGAGAGAGGAAGGGTGAACAATAGTTAGAAACATTGATGAGAGAGACATCTATCGGCTGCCTCCTGCACGCCCCCTACTGGGGATGTGCCCCCAACCAAGGTACATGCCCTTAACCAGAATCTAACCTGGGGCCCTTCAGTCCACAGGCCGACACTCTATCCACTGAGCCAAAACAGTTAGGGCAGGCCTAAAACTTGTCAAAGTAAAGTTTGGGGAGAAAAAACCTAATCCTCTAGATGTGAATTTTTATTTCTGCTTTGAAGATGATACAGAAGTGAGTTCGATAACCATGAAATGTAGTGAAAATAGTGGTTGGGGTTTATAGACTTCAGGAAAGATAGGGTCCGGCCGGCATGGCTTAATGGTTGAGCATTGACCCATGAACCAAGAGGTCATCATGAACCTGGTTATGGGCTCCATCCCCAGCAGGAGGCAGCTGATCAAGGTTGATGGTTCTCTCTACATTGATGTTTCTGTCTCTCACTTTCACTTCCCCTCTTTCTAAAATCAATAAAAACGTATTAAAACACACACACACACACACACACACTCTCTCTCCAGATAAATGTAAGAACACAGAAACTCACCAAAAAAGGAATTTGAAAGAAAATCAGAGAAAAGGCATGAAGAATAAAACACAACAAGGGGGGGGGAGACACATTTTCTTAGTGAGAAGATAGAAGATATTACATAAAACATAAAAGAACAGGATGATATTTAAAAAGGCTCAGAGAACAAAACAGAGCTCTACAATAGGAAGTCTAACATCCGAATGAGTTTGAGAAAGTGACAACAAAGAAGGGAAGAAAATCAAAGACATTAAAAATACTTTTCTGAAACAGACAGACACAAGTTTCAAGATTGAAAACGCCCAGGAAGTATCCAGAAGGAAGGATGAAAGCGCCCCATATGAAAGCGTGTCACGGGGCAACTTCAGAGCCGGGGCAGGAAGAGCAGACCCTGCAGGCTTCCATAGAAAAACAAAGACAATCTCATAAGATGAAACCACAATGGCTTCAGTGGTCAGAGCAGCACAATCTCTTCAAAAGCCTGAGGAAATTATTAATTACCACCTAGAATTCTACACTATGGAATATATGTTAGTGGGGAGGATAAAATAAGGATGTTTTTAGATATGCAAGCCTCTAAAAACGTTACAATCCCACGATCCTTTTTTAAAAAGCTCCCAGACAATGTATGCCATCCAAACATCCCCTTTGTAAGAAGTCAGGTCTCTCTAGGGAATTAAACACTGACCTTCTGCCAGTTGTCAGATCCACCTGGCAGTTCACAAACACAAATGCTGAAGTGAAATTTTACATGTGGCTGGACAGCTGGTAAGAACTCATTAGGAAGCAGAGACATTTAAGACGAAGGGATTTTAACATGAAGCTCCATGAAGAATGGTTTTGAAATGTTTGCATTAGAAAGATGTTTGGCTTCGTGGAAGCCTGTTTAGTTTTTTCAGAAACGTGCACACATATGCACCTTGATTAACCTGGGTCACCCACAGCAAATTAATGGAAAAAAAAATGTACATCTCACTTTTTAGAGTTCACTATTGGAGTCACAAGGAAACTTGTTACATACGGGGAATGCAACACTGTGTATAAAACTTGCTTATTGTTTATAAGTGCTTACTGTTCACTGATTAACCTTAGAGCCACTGTAGAGTGATTACCTAAGAAAAATTGTGAGGATAAGGTTCTTTTCTTTTCACCCAAAAGCATCACTCCTGATACAGCATATTTCAACTGCTGGTTTGATTTTGTCCCTAACTTCCATCCTAACAAAATCACAAGCCCTTTATTCACTGGCAGAGTTATAGTCACCTACAAATCTCTAGATACCCCTAAAATCAATACCGCTTTGATTTTTAAAAAACTTTCTCTTCTCATATTGGTTTTCATATTGTGCTCTACTATGTCCAGCATGCCTGGCCCCCAAACCTTGACATGAGTTAAGGTTTTGGTGTTTGAAAAACACAAATTCATGAAAAACCGGCTTAATGTTCTGCTTTTGAAGAACAGGTATTTTTAAATTTATATAAACATAAGAACTATATGAGGCTGCCTGGCAAAGATGCCCCGAGGGCCCCCTAGGTGCCTGGGGGCACCCGGACCTGAATGGACCCAGGGGGTAGGGGCTGCTGCATCCTTCCCTGCGTGCCCCCCCACCCCCACCCCAAGGCAAAAGCTGGGGCTTGAGCATTTCCTGCTGGTGAGCTGGGCGCTCAGGTCCAGGAGGGAAAATGTCTACAGAGGGTGCATGTTCTCTCCAGAGATGCTTCTAGTTGCTTTTCACGAGCCCTGCATCGCTCATCACTTCCTATCAGCAATGTAAGCAATATTCCTGAGAAAATCAAAGGTAACATCTACCTAACACTGTCATCTAAAACAGGAATGGTAGAGAGGAGGCATTGGCTTAGACCCAGCTCAGCAGCTATCCCCAGAGTAAGCGAGGCAAAGGCTGATGAGTAACTACACCAAATGCGAGAGCCCCGACCACTTTCTGCCTCCTGGAGTCATGCCGGAAGGAACCCAATGTGTTATTTCCTCCTCTCACCGGTGACCTTTCTGCCCTCCTTGTGTTCTAGAGTCTCAGCAGTACTCATTGCCACCACTCACCCCAAAACCCCCAGGGCAGAAAGAAAAAGTACATACGTACCTTAAAATCTGTATTATTGATATATTCAAATACCAAAGCTGGTGTCTTTGACTGCAAGAAAAAAATATATGATTATTAAGTATTCAAACAATGAGTATAATTTCTTCTGTGCACCTGCCCATTCTCAAATCCCACTTAGATGAAAAAGATTCACTCCTCAGGGAGAGACTAGCAAGTATCCTCTTGAAATGTTATGCCTGGAACTTGCTTCAAAATAACAGGATGGCGGGCACTGGAGGTGGGGAAGTGGGTGGGAGGTAAGGATGGAACAGAGTTGGCCAGGAGCCGACTTAGTGCTAAAACTGAGTGCTGTATGCAGGCAGGTTCATGAGATTACTCACTTTACTTTTGTAAATGGTCAGAATTTTTCATAAAGTTGTTTCGTTTGTTTGTTTTTAAAAGGACGTTCTCTGACCAACCTGTCCACTGGGCCTGGCACATTATTCGAAGACTTATTCTCTTGAGGGTTTCGGTTTGCCAGCTGTGAAAGGAGTGACATGTTTTCATCTTGGTCTAGCGAGCCAGACGCGTTTTACAGAATTATCATAGGTCTTGGGCCTCTAGCACAGGTCTTTTCAGGATCGGAAAGGAAATTATGTATAATTATCAGTAAGCCACAATGTGAAATTACTTCGAGTATTTTTAAAGCACTATAATCTTCGATGCAATGAATACAAAATAGTCAATATTTCCTTGTTGTAAACAGATCTTCAAAAGTCAAGTTTACTTAAGTGAGGTAAAATAATGTGAATGGGCAGTAATAAGCTTTCAAAGCGGGAGAAAGGTGGGGGCTTAAAAGCATGATAGGAAGAAACCATCATCCTAGAAATCCTTCCAGCCGGGAAGTTTTGCCGAAGGAAGCAGATGGAAGTTACCTAGGAGACGGGCCACAGAGCACCCGCACGGGCCTGTGCCAGGATGAGCAGCGGTCCCGGCAAAGGGTCCTCACCAGCCCACGCTGAGCGGGTCTCCCCACCAGACCTCTCTACCGGCGGGGGAGGAGGGTTCCCCGATTGTTTCGTCCACTTCAACTTATTGGTTACATAAGTGTAACACACACACACACACACACACACACACACACACACACACACTTTAACAGATTACAAAAAAAATGGTGAGACAGCTACCACCAAGCGCCGTGTCACTGCAGAATCAATCCGAGCTGATCAGACGGGGATCTATTTGTGCCAATTAGATGGGACCTAGAATAGGACCATCCTTCTCAGTCTTTCCAGGGACCAAAGTAAAAAGCTTTCTTAGTCTTCAGTTCAACAGCCCTGTGTGATGTTGGGCAAATTACTTAACTTTTGTAGACTTATTATCTTTTTTTTAAAAATATATTTTATTGATTTTTATACAGAGAGGAAGAGAGATAGAGAGTTAGAAACATCAATGAGTGAGTCATCGATCAGCTGCCTCTTGCACACCCCCTACTGGGGATGTGCCCGCAACCAAGGATGTGCCCTTGACCAGAATCCAACCTGGGGCCCTTCAGTCCCCAAGCCGACGCTCTATCCACTGAGCCAAACCGGTCCCGGCTAGACTTGTTACCTTACCTGCAGTGTGACAATGCAGACAACAGTACCTATCCCCCTCCCTGCGACTGCTGTGAGGATTATATGATGATAGTGAGACACTCAGGACAGTGCTGGCACACGCATGGTGGCTACCAGTGTTATGAGGAGGTCTTCAGCAGAGAGAGCAAAGACAATACAACTCAAGCTATCCTGGCAGAACGGGAATATTGCGGTCCAGCAGGTGAAGAGCAGAAATGGGATGGGAAGCAATACCAAAAAAGCCTTAGTTAATAATAAACACTTAAGGTTTAGTCACTCCCCGGAAGAAACAAAAAAATAAACAGCACCACTGAAATGGCTCAGAATTAAGCACCTGAACAAAAATATTTCCGATGTTTCTGGAATACAATGTGCCCCTAGCCGAAACCGGTTTGGCTCAGTGGATAGAGCGTCGGCTTGGGGACTGAAGGATCCCGGGTTCGATTTCGGTCAAGGGCATGTATCTTGGTTGCAGGCATATCCCCGGTAGGGGGTGTGCAAGAGGCAGCTGATCGATGACTCTCTCTCATTGATGTTTCTAACTCTGTATCTCTCTCCCTCCCTCTCTGTACAAAATCGATAAAATATATTAAAACAAACAAAAAACAATGTGCCCCTAACAGGGGATGCTGAATTAAAGAAGCATGAGAACCAGCAAGAACCTCAAAGGTCATTGGGCCCGGGACCGGCTCAGTGCTCTACGCAAGGTGTCCATGTGGAGGTTCTCGGTACTTCCTTCTATGACCCCAGGTTTTCAATGAAGGTAAAATAATGCGGATTGGTAGGAATAAGCTTCAAAACTGGGAGAAAAACAGGGTCTTAAAGGAGATAGTGAGCAAACATTTGTAAGCTGAATCAAGACAACGAGGTAATCAGATCCCATTTCCTTAATATCTAGGATCTGAAATCAGCAGGGATTTGCCTATCTGACAGACATGCTAGGGTCTATGGAAGTGGTGGTGGCTACTTCCATTTTGGGCCACCATGATTTTTTTTTCTGGTTTTCAAAATCATTCCAGCCGAAACCGGTTTGGCTCAATGGATAGAGGGAGCTTCAGCCTATGAAAGGTCCCAGGTTCGATTCCGGTCAAGGGCATGTACCTTGGTTGCGGGCACATCCCCAGTGGAGGTGTTGTGCAGGAGGCAGCTGATCGATGTTTCTCTCTCATTGATGTTTCTAACTCTCTATCCCTCTCCCTTCCTCTCTGTAAAAAAATCAATAAAATATATTTTTTTAAAAATCATTCCGTAGAAAAGACAAATACAATCATCCTTACTATATATTTCTCTGTATTTTAGGTTCTCTCTCTCTCTCTCTCTCTCACACACACACACACACACACTCACACACACTCCCTCTCCCCGCACCAGAGGCACCTACCACAGGGTCCTTCACGGTGTCAATCAGCTTAATGATATTTGTTCCACCACGAAGGTTCTCCAGAATCTTAACCTCTCGTTTTATCTTCTTTTTCTTCACTGGCTTAAATACACAAGAGTAATCAGAAGTAAGACTCCCTTGAAAATTATTAAAAACTTTAAAACAACCTTAGCTAATCAAATGGATAGGACACTGTCTTGTACACTCAGGTATGTTAAAGACCACGTCTAAATTAGAAGAGAAAAAAATGGAGATAGAATGGATCTGCCCATAAGAACTTACAGGATTAAGTTAAACAATTTACAGACATAGCTTATGGCAAATCTTTAAGTAGGGCACTTAAAATTTTTGAGCACCATGTCATACTTTAAAAATAAAATGCTTACTGGGTTAACTGCCAAGTGGAAAATGTTATAGCTCCGAACAGCTGTATATCATGCACCCGCAAATGGAAAAACTTAAACAAAATGGTGCGACACCTGCTCTTCCAATGAGTTACATGTAATTTTGTCTTCCAGGAGCGAAGACCAGTTCCCTGACATCAAGTTACAAACTTGTTTCCCAGCTGCTGGCTCCCATTTCCTGTCGCCACTCCCATTTCCTTAATATCTAGGATCTGAAATCAGCACAGAGCCAGTAACAATTCTCTGCACATCCCAATTCCCAAAGAGATGATGGATCGGCAACAGTGATTGAAAACCTCTGCTACTGCTCATCTTTCAACCTGCCAGACAGGAAAGTTTCAAGACTTTAATCAGAAATACTGGCATTACATGTTACTTCTCTTTTTCTTTTTAATATATTTTTTTTATGGATTTCAGAGAGGAAGGGAGAGATAGAAACATCAATGATGAGAGAGAATCATTGACTGGCTGCCTCCTGCATGCCCCCTACTGGGGAGGATCGAGCCTGCAACCCAGGCATGTGCCCCTGGCCGGAATCAAACCTGAAACCCCTCAGTCTGCAGGCCAACGCTCTATCCACTGAGCAACACAGGCTAGGGCACACATGTTGCTTCTTATCTTGAGTGAGCTAAAGAGTTTGAAGAAGGAAAATAAGCATATCGCAATCAACAAGTTTTATAAAGCATTTGGCACAGCACTGGCACATAGTACGCACCCAATAAATGCCAGCTTTGTTATTTTCAATCTTGTAGTTAGTAATATTTCATCTTCACAAAATTCCCATGTAGTAGATCCAGCTACACTGAGCTATCTGCCCAAGGGTCACAGGGCTCAGAGTAAAGAGTGGGGGCAGGAATCACACCCAGACAGTCTGACTGCAGGTCTCACTGGCAGCCACTGTGCTTCCATTACCCAGTGTGGCTGCATAACTAGCATAACTAAGGAAAAGGGGCATTCCATCACCGAGACAGTTACAACAGCCCGGGCAGAGGCCAGTGGATTGGCCATGAAACAAGATATAAAAAGCCCGTGTGTGTGTGTGTGTGTGTGTGTGTGTGTGGGTGGGTGTTGGTGGTGGTTGTGGTGGAGGGGGAGGATATAATATAATACACGTGTCAGAGAAACCTCCATCTATTGTTGGTCACTAAGCTACAGCTCTGAACCAAACAGAGAGGGAGATTATGAAACACGGAGCATCTGCAGCACCTACAAACGCGGTGCTCCTTCCATGGCAGCTGCCAGCGATCGTGCCCATCCACTCTGCCAGGATTCCCAGCAAACCTGGCCGCGGTGTCCCTTCCCCACCTCCACTTAGCCATCTTCTTCCTCATTCCCAGGTTCATCATTAGGGGGGGCTCAACTCTTTGGGAAAATGAAGCTTTCAAACTTGAAGCCACAGAAGGACCTTCTACACAGTAAGTAGTCTGAACAACTGTTCCCGACTAAAAAGATAAGACAACTGAATGCAACACATGATCCGGGATTTTCTTTTATATAAAGAACATATAAGAACAACTGATAATTGTGAATGGGGACGAAAGTTAGCTAACAGCATCATACCAATGCTAATTTCTGATTTTTGATTCTGGCACTGTGGGTTATGTAAGAAGTTGTCCTTGATTTTAGGAAATACACACCAAAGGAAGGATGATGGCAATTTACTCTCAAGCACTTTAAAAAAATAAGTAAAATAAGCTTTTTTCGGCTTTCGGCTCGGAGGAGGCTCAGGTGCAACTTTCCTCGGTCGTCCCGAATCCGGGTTCATCCGACACCAGCTGCCTCCACCATGCCGCCGAAGTTCGACCCCAACGAGATCAAAGTCGTATACCTGAGGTGCACCGGTGGGGAAGTGGGTGCCACGTCTGCCCTGGCCCCCAAGATCGGCCCCCTGGGCCTGTCCCCGAAAAAGGTTGGTGATGACATCGCCAAAGCAACTGGTGATTGGAAGGGTCTGAGGATTACAGTGAAACTGACCATTCAGAACAGACAGGCCCAGATTGAAGTGGTGCCTTCTGCCTCTGCCCTGATCATCAAAGCCCTCAAAGAACCTCCAAGAGACAGAAAGAAGCAAAAAAACATTAAGCACAGTGGAAATATCACATTCGATGAGATTGTCAGCATTGCCCGACAGATGCGGCACCGATCTTTAGCTAGAGAACTCTCTGGAACCATTAAAGAGATCCTAGGGACTGCCCAGTCTGTGGGGTGCAATGTTGATGGCCGCCACCCTCATGACATCATAGATGATATCAACAGTGGTGCCGTGGAATGTCCGGCTAGTTAAGAACTACAAAGGAAAAGAACTCAAATAAAGATCATTTTGACAAGCAAAAAAAAAAAAAAAAAAAAAAAAAAAAAATAAGTAAAATAAGTATAAATACATACACAGAGATGCGTGTGTTTGCGCACGCATGTATGAAAGAGAACAGGAGAGAAGAATAAAGCAAATGTTAACATTTGAGAAATGTGGGTGAAAAATATATAGGAATTCTTGCAACTCTTCTGCAGGTCTGAAATTACGTCAAAAAGTTTAAAGAAAAACAAAGGCCAGTTATCATCTATAAATTCTGCCAATGCTACCAGTACAGTCAATGTAAGAAAATTCTAGTTTTGTCATCCACTTGAGGAAAGCAATAGCAGATCTGTGGAAGTGGTAACAGGAAACAATAGACAGATAAAACCACCACAGGCCTGGCTGGGTGGCTCAGTGGGTTGGGGTGTTGTGCCGTACACAAAAGGTTGCGGGTTCAATTCCTGGTCAGGGTACATATGGGAGGCAACCGATCAATATTTCTCTCTCACATTGAGATTCCTCTTTTTCTAATACCAATAACAACATATCCCCAGAAGAGGACTAAAAATAACAACACAGAAAAAATGGCCACAGCCAGAAGCCTGTATACACCAAAGCCCTCCTTCCTATCAGTGAGCTGTGCAGGGTGACCATTAATGAGCTTTTATCCTGGTGCCACATGCAGAGCTTTGCTCGGCTCTCCTATTATTCAGCAACAGGTCAGACAGGCGCCTTGTTCCTGGGCAAGATGGAGATATCTCTCTTTCTGTCCAAAGGTAACTTACAGAGCACGCGAACAGGTCACCTGTCTAACAGCTTCCCAAACAGGAGGCTGGGGACCGCAGGGCGGAGTCACGCAACAGCTGGAGGCCTCGCCTACTGAGAGACCAGGGGATTGCGAAAAGCAAAGTGACCTCCAGCCCAGGACATGCCCTCCACAGGAACAGGACACAGGTGGCTCCCTCCAGCCTCAGCACAGTCCCCGGAACCTGGGAGACGCTGCAGAAGCTACAGAACCAATGCGCTCGCAGGGAGGGAAAGCGGTCACTTAAATTCTACAAATAGAACTGGAGAGAGAAAGACAGGATTGGTGAGGGGGGACCCTGGCACCCTAAGGAAAGCAGATCATGAGTTTTACAGGAATGAGGATGCTCTGACTCTCTAGCCCAGTGTTCGCACTCATTCACCGTCAGTAACAGCCCGTGGAGAAAATACATACATTTCCCATGACAATCTCATCATTTCATCTCGCAGGCTAGAAAGTCTCTCCCAACTAAGGTTTATTTATTACAAGTCCAAGATTATGAGTTTAAAAGATTCTAACTGATGTGTAATATTTTAAACAATAAAAAAGAAAGAAAAAAGATTCTAACTGAATCAGCTTAGCTATTTTCCAAACAACAAAAATTTGGTTTTTTACTCAAAGTCTAGTAGAGAAAATGACACATAGCTTTCAAAAAGAAATAAAGTATTAACTTAAAGCTTCAAAATAAATGAATTTTGGCACCCACCTAGAGAGAATATTTAACGGGAAAACTAATGTAAAATTTTCTGTACATAAGCTCTGAAAAGGAAGGAAGGAAGGAAAGAAGGAAAGGGGGGGGAAGGAAGGAAGGGCCTTTTCAGGTTTCTGCCCACATGGTGAAGTCCCAGCTATTTAGAACCTTGTTCGACGTAATCCAAGACTAAGGTACTTTTTCTCTATCCCTATGTACCAACACTACCAAATTTTAAAACAAAAGACACGTTTAGTAACGGCATACTTGGAAACACAAAAGTTGACAGTAATCTCTCCTATTTCATTACTCAGCTACTTTTAAAAAAGCCAGGCCCTAGCTGGTTTATTCAGTGGTTAGAGCATTGGCCTTTGGACTGAAGGGTCCTGGGTTCGATTCCAGTCAAGGGCATGTATTTTGGTTGTGGGCTCAATTCCCAGAAGGGGGCATGCAGGAGGCAGGGGACCGTTCTCTCTCATCATTGATGTTTCTATCTCTTCAGACCTCTCTGAAATAAATAAAAATATATTTTTTAAAAAAGCCAGATTTGAGAATGATTTCAACTATTAGCATTTAATTATGATTGAACTAGAGGCCCAGTGCACAAAATTTGTGCATGGGGGGGGGGTGAGTGGGCCTACACCCTCTCGCAGTCTGGAGGCCCTCGGGGATGTCCAATTGATGGCTTAGGCCCGCTCCCCGAGGCAGTTGGATATCCTTAGAGCTGTTGCGGGGACAGGAGAGGCACCCGCCACCTCCACTGCACTTGCTAGCGCTGAGCTCGGCTTCTGGCTGAGTGGCTCTCCCCGCTGTGGAAGCACACTGACCACCAGGGGGAGCTCCTACGTCCAGTGTCTGGCCCCCTGGTGGTCAGTGTGCATCATAGCGACCAGTGGTTCTGCCATTCAG